CTGAAAGCAGGTTTCTGGGGTTTTGTTTAGCTTCTATATTTGTAACATTGTTTCTTAGAGTGCAAGCTCAGAGGCCGGCAGCGGCAGGCGGGGAACGTTGGCTTCCTCCGTCACTGAAGCAAGCAAACCTCCTGTTCGCTTCAAGCTGCCTGGCTGCCGGCCGCCATCTTGGTTGGCAGTTTATTTGCATATCGCCCTGATTAGCCAATGGGAAGGGTAGCGGAGGTACAGCTAATTACCATGTTTCTCTATTATTAGATAGGATTGCTGCCTTTTTTTCCTACCATTTCAGTACCTATTATTACCTACTCATGAAGTTTAAAAATGCAAGTCAGTTTAACTTTGCTATATATTACCTCACATAAAATAACTATATATTATTACTTCTCATAAAATAACTATGCCAAAGAATTTCTATGCGTATGTGCATAACCAATGGACACCGACAACAGTGTTGTGAAGGCCTGGGGAGGAGACGGGAGCGGCGGGGAAGGGGGTAGGTGTAGGTAGGGGAAAAGGGGACATCTGTAATACTTTCAACAATAAAGATAAATTTTAAAAAATAACTATAATAAAGGGTTGGGAGATCGTTCACAAATTACAATTATCCATTCTACTAGAATGGATAACTGAAAACTAGCTGCACTAACTATATCTGTTTACCTCTAAGTCAGTTTATCCTAATCAGTCAAGCACATACTACAGACACCTCCCAAATCATAAATGAAAATTCAACCCAGCCCTAGCCGGCTTGGCTCAGTGGATAGAGCGTCAGCCTACAGACTGAAGGGTCCCAGGTTCGATTCCGGCCAAGGGCACATGCCTGGGTTGCAGGCTCAATCTCCAGTGGGGTGCGTGCAGGAGGCAACCAATCAATGATTCTCTCTCATCATTGATGTTTCTATCTATCTCTCTCCTTCTCCCTTCCTCTCTGAAACCAATAAAGAAATATATAAAAAAAAAAAAATTCAACCCAAGAATTCCTAATACAGTAAGATATACTGTAATGGCTGAAAACAAGTAATGAACCATTTTAAATAGAGTAATTAAAATGTCAATAAGGCTTAAGTTATTCAATGGAAGAAAAAATAGTGGCTATATTGTCATAAAATTATATATAATTATACAAAATAATTTTTTAAAAAACTCGAAATTAATAGAATCTAAACATTCCATTCTAAAGATAAGTTTTTAAGAGAAATGTTTCTTTAATGATTAGCACAAAATATATGCAATGAGATTTCATACTATACATTCGGGAAATGCCAAGATCAATTATATGTAGTTCTTGTCCCAAGATATTAAAATTTAATGACTTAAAAAGGTACTGTATCAGATCTAAGACATCATCAACTATAAGACATTCTATTACTTTATGTACTATTAAGGGGAAAAAATGCTACATAACGGAAATACACCATCAATTATACGATTTATTCAAATTTTACAGATATTAAAATAGAAAAAAATAGGCTTTATAGAATCAATTCAATATAGTAATTGCCATATTTATTGATCTTTATAACATGGCACTTTCTAATCCAACAAATCTCTGATTATTTCTGGCAGGTTTATAGCACTAAGTAATGCTTTTTCAATGAATAAGCAAACATTAAAGAGTTGCAAAGGTTCTGTAAAATAGATTGTCTTAATCTCACTTTTCTCTTATCATTATTAATATATCAATATTGTCACAACAAAAATAGAAATTTGAAAAATTTTACACTCAGAATCTCACCACAAAGATAAATTACTTTTATTTTTTTCATGCTCCTGTTATTATACATAGCCTTCAAGTTTTCTTAACTTGAAACCAAGTCTTTAAAAATATTCATTGCCCTAGCCGGTTTGGCTCAGTAGATAGAGCATTGGCCTGAGGACTGAAGGGTCCTGGGTTTGATTCCAGTCAAGGGCACATGCCCAGGTTGCAGGCTCAATCCCCAGTAGAGGGCATGCAGGAGGCAGCCAATCAATGATTCTCTCTCATCATTAATGTTTCTGTCTCTCTCTCCTCCCTTCCTCTCTGAAATTAATAAAAATATATTTTTAAAAAACTTTATAAAAATATTCATTGAAACTATACAATTAAATGACTAAGCAAAAGCTATATACATGCAAACAAGT